GTGTGTGTGTGTGTGTGTGTGTGTGTGTGTGTGTGTGTGTGTGTAGTGTGTGTGTGTGTGTGTGTGTGTGTGTGTGTGTGTGTGTGGAGAATGGCCTCAATCTGTATTTGCTTGAAGCTAAATTGTGCATTTCCCCATATCACTCCTGCTTCAGTTCCTGTGTATTCAGTTCTGGCCTAATTAATAATTACAATTACTGGCAAAACAAATGTGGGGATTGTAGACTCAGGAACATCAGTCAGAGATAGCTGTGCTGATGAAGAGGCTAAATTTTATGGCTAACAGCTACATTCCCTGGGTAACAAGTGAAGTGTTGTTCAAACCTGGAGTAGTGCGTATTTGGTGCTTGTAGTGGTGCAAGGAATAGGCACAGAACACTGGGGAAAGAGCAGGAGCCAAGATAAGGAAGTATTGGGCACCGAATAAAATAACTATTTAAAATCTTGCTGTGTTAATTATTTCTTAAATAAATATTCCCTATAAGCTTTTTTATGTGAGATGAAGTAAAAATAATAAAGGATGTATTTTCAGCAGTGAGATTCTCATAAATGGCAAATCCATCTGCAGTGGGCTGAAAATGTATCCCTGTTCCGTGTTTTGAAATCCCATCTTGTAATTACAAGACACTTTTCTGTGAGTTTTAGTGCTGACTAATGTTGATTTCATGAAGTTCTGGGAGCTTTGTGCCTTACCAACTTCCTGGAGTTGAACAGGGCAAAAAGAGGCAATACTCTCCTCATAAGCCGTTATTACTGGAATGATCCCCCTTTTCCATTGCCCCAGCAACAACACATATTTCTTCAGTGTAAGAGGAAAGGCGAGTGTAAAGAAAACAGACCTACCTCTGACACTGCATCTCCACCATTACATGTCGTTGAGAGTACATTTTCTGTTTGCACAGGGACTTGGCAGCAGATCTTCTCATGATGACTCCCAATAATGAACTGCAGTTAGTAAAGCTATGTGCTTTCTATCCTGGATCCACAGCAGAGATAAATGACCTACATGAAAAGGTACATTTAAGGGACTTTTATTAATAAAAACAAACATTTACTTGAATAGTAAAATGAGGTTATGTATTGATTTGTTTCTTAATATGTAGATAAATTCATAACACTTATGAATATTATTTTGTATATTAATAATATTTTGTATTATCTCTCATATCCATTTTTGTTCTGTGTTTAATCTGCATAAGACTTTTACTATCAGTTTATGCACAATAAGAAATGTGTATTTGGTTTCTGGTATGCTATAAAGGCAGTTTGATGTAGTGACCATCAGACTGGACTGGGACTCAGGAGACGTAGGTTCTCTTCCCAGCTCTGCTACAGGCCTGCTGGGTGACTGTGGGTAAGTCACGTTCACTTCTCTGTGTCTGTTTCCACATTTATAAAATGAGAATAATGAGATTTACCTCCTCTATAAAGCACTTGGAAATCTGCTGATGGTAAGAGCTTGGTGGTGACTGTTCTTATTATGTCTGCAGTAGCAAACTAAGGCCAGATCCTCTGTCCGTAAGAATTTGGATTCCCCCCAGGGTAGAATGTTTCCAATTGCTCATGGTCATAAGAGTCGCCTGTAAATAGGGCTTATAGTCCCCTTCTCTCTGAAGTCATATTAAAGAATCCCTCCTTCCCCCACTACCCTGATCTCTGTGGTACTGCATCTGGTGCCCATTGGCTCCTTTGCCTGGCAGACTTCCTCTGTAATCTGGAAGAGTCTTCTTCCTCTGACTGCTTTACTTTTGACTCGAACTGCTCATCTAGTGACTTCTTAAACAATGGGTTTGTCACAGAAAGACCTCACGAAGTTCTTAGATGCCTAGGCTGACATTCACCAGACATTTGGCGTATGAAAGGAGACTCGAGCTCGGTTTGTTTACCTTAACCAAAAGAAGGCTGACGGGGGGATATGATTGCTCTCTTTAAATATATCAGAGGGATAAATACCAGGGAAGGAGAGGAATTATTTCAGCTCAGTACTGATGTGGACACGAGAACGAATGGATATAAACTGGCTGTCAGGAAGTTTAGGCTTGAAATTAGATGAAGGTTTCTAACCATCAGAGGGGTGAAGTTTTGGAACAGCCTTCCGAGGGAAACAGTGGGGGCGAAAGACCTCTCTGGCTTTAAGATTAAGCTTGATAAGTTTATGGAGGAGATGGTTTGATGGGATAAAGTGATTTTAGTCAATAGGTCAATAACGTGCCATCGCTGGTAATTAGCAACAATGGTCAATGATGGGATATTAAAAGTTACTACGGAGAACTTTTTCCAGAGGGTCTGGCTAGAGAATCTTGCCCGCATGCTCGGGGTTCAGCTGATCGCCATATTTGGGGTCGGGAAGGAATTTTCGTCCAGGGTAGATTGGCAGAGGCCCTGGAGGTTTTTCGCCTTCCTCTGCAGCATGGGGCAGGGGTTGCTTGCTGGAGGATTCTCAGCCATTTGAAGTCTTTAAATCATGATTTAGGGACTTCAACAGCTGAGTCAAGGGAGAGAATTCTTCCGGGAGTGGGTGGGTCAGCTTTTGTGGCCCGCATCATGCGGGAGATCAGACTAGATGATCATAATGGTCCCTTCTGACCTTAGAGTCTATGAGTCTACTGACTCTACCAGTATGCACCCCTATAGAGGGGATTAAAGTGTACTCTCGTAGTGATACATGTCCGTGAAAAAATCTTTATTACCTTTAAATAAAGAGAATGATCTTTTCTTCATATCAGAGAAAATCTGTTTTTGTTATGCTTTATGGGAACTTCCGTAGTTTCTTGAACCTTACCATGTTCAAACAAAACTATTTATTTCTTGTGTAAAACCTTTGTTTTCCAGTGTAATCTACCAGATGTAGAAGAGTGTATGCAGCTAGCAGAGACTGCTCAGGCAAATGGGGACATATTTGAAATCATAAAATACTATTTGTTAAGTACAGAACCAGAAAAAGCCCTTCCTCTTGGCATTCAATATATTAAAGGTAGGCTTGTGAATGGAAGAACCTGATCTCAATATAGTCATTTGTTTGGCTTCTTTCTGCTTTGGTATTTACCATTTTCATTTTTTGTTTGTATTTTTCAACAGAACAAATCAGTAGCTCAGATTGGACTTTGGATTCAGTGTGTCCCTTTCTTGATCTTCTAAGCTATATACGCACTGAAAGATTAGTGCTGCATAAATGTAGTGAGTGAGTATGTTTCCCATGACTATAAAACTGAGGCTTCCCTCTTTTTTTTAAAGATTACTCTTTCTCCTTGTTTTCAGTCATGTGTTCTACTTCTTTCCTACAGCTAGCAATCACTTGGATATCTTTACAACATAGCTCTCAGCTTACACAGCTGAATAAAAATAACAAATACAACTATATGATCTAATCCATCAGCCCTAACATGGACAAACTTCCTTTGAGCCAATGGGTTTTTGCAAATGTTGGGACTGAAGGTTAGGTCCTAAATTCAGATTCAGGCCAGCTTATCTGCATCTGTAGTAGCAGAGCAGGATCTTGAAGGGATAAGTGCAAGATCTTTTCTGGTTGAGTTTCACTGAATTGATGAAGGTGTTGTGAGAACTTCAGGCCACAACCTGTGCATTCCCTATTTTGGGTAGTCAAGAAGGTTGTAGTGAGACCACTATCACAGTATCTAGCTTCCACAGAACTCCTTGACACTCTAGTCAAAATGGACATAAACCTGGGTTTAGTACACAGGCTGCACTTCTTGCATTTAATTTTCCCTTTGAGGTAACAATGATCAGGTATTCTTGCTGACTTTTAGATCTGTCAGCTGCCTTTGAAACTGCGGATCATGAAGTGTTGCTGACCCATCTTTCGTCTCAGGCAGGAATAGCTGGGTGGAGGTTGCTTTTTCTAGCTGAGAAGACCCAAAGAGTTGTAATAGGCAATTATTTGTCAACTGTGAGGGCACTCTCATGTAGGGTCCTGCAGGATTCCATCTTATTGCCCCTCTTGTATCAATGTGTATATCTGACCTATTAAAGGAGTTAGTGAAGAGACTCAGGTGGCATTGTTTTCTGGCTAATGACCTTAAGTTTTATGTCTCCAATTCAAATGACCAAGCTGGAGCTGTTGAGAGACTAATGCAGTGTATAGGTGAAATTGGGGCATGGATGAGAGCAAGTTGGCTGAGGCTCAATCCAGACAAGACAGGTGATGCTGGTAGGTTGAGAGAAACAACCCGAAGAGTTAGTGGAGATTTTATTTGCACCAAAGAGTGAGGGTGTTCAGCTGCCATTGTTAAATAACTAGAGTCTGGCTAGACCAATAACTGCATTTAAAAGTGACTGTCATGATCAAACAGGTGTTTTACTATCTACCTCTGGCCAGATGAGTATGACATACTCTTTCAAATTCAGATATAGCTACTATCATTCATGCCTGTGTCACTGCAAGGTTAGACTATCTCAATGCACTCTGTGGGGGATACATCTTAAATTTAATAGGCAGCTGGAACTGGTGCAGAAGGTAGCTGTCTGGTTGATAACTAGGCCATTCTGTAGAGAGCACGTGGCTCTGCAGATAGATTTTAAGGTATTAGCTTGAACTTATAAAGCCTTAAATAGCCAAAGTGTAGTTGAGCACCTCTATCTTCATGATACACTGGCTTTGTCTACACTACGCAGCTTTTAGTGACACGGCTGTGTGCTAGAAGCTGTGCTGCTAAAAGGCGCGCATGCAGTGTAGCTGCTTTTTGTCAGCAAGAGAGTTCTTTCCTGCCTACAAAAAACTTCCACCCCAACGAGCGGCGGTAGCTTTATTGGCAGGAGAGCGCTCCTGCCGACAAAGCACTCTTCAAACCGGTGCTTTTCCTTGACAAAACTTTTGTCTTTCGGGGGGGTGGGGAGGGGTGTTTTCTTAACACCTTTGAATGACAAAAGTTTTGTCATTCACTTGCCAGTGTAGACAAAGCCACTGTTGCAATCATGATCACCAGAGACACTGATGGTGAATCCTCCTCTGCATAACAGAGAGAGCATTCTCCATAAGAGCCCCAGAGCTCTGGTATGCCCTCCTGCTGCTGATCTGAAATGCCTGGAGTTAAAGACTTAAGGAGTATGCTGCAGTGCCTAGGCTTTCGCTACACTGCCAATTGAATGACAAAACTTGTGTCGTTCACAGGTGCTTAAAAAGCCTCCCCCACCCCCACCCCAAAAGACAAAAGTTGCAGCAGCAAGTGCAAGTGTAAACAGCTCATTGTTGGCAGAAGTGCTCTCGTGTTGACAATGTGAACCCCACTCCTAGGGGAGGAAGTATTTTGTTGGCAAAAGTGCCGACAAACAGCGTTTACACTGCCCGATTTTTAGCGACACAGCTGTGTAGTGTAGACAGTAGTGTAGACAAAGCCTAAATGTTTTGCATGGTTTAGAGAATGTGGGAGTTTTATTACTGGTTATAAATATGATATAATGCATTCAGTTTACCTAATTGACATTATCCTGCCTGACTGCATAAAATCAGAGGAGGCTTTTGTGGGGGGAAGCAAATAGGAAACAAAACAAAGATAGAGAAAAGACTCCTTAAGGGATAATGGGGGAAGCTATTAATTGGGGATTGCCCCTGTACACCTCCATCCAGGCTAGCCAGGATTACATTTCCCAGATCTAAGCCTACAATCAAAGGGGATACTAAACCTTTAAGAGTTTGTCTATGCTGCAATCAGGCACCCACAACTGGCCTGTGGCAACTGACAGGCTTGCAGGGCTCAGGCTGCGGGGCTATAAAATTGCAGTGGTAGATGTTCAGGCTCAGACTGGAGTGTGGGGTCTGGGACCCTGCAAGGGGGGAGGGTCCCACAGCCTGAGCCTCGGGAGTTTTACTGTAGTGTAGACATACTCTAAAACAGCGTTTCTCAACCTTTTTGATACCAGGAACCATCTTGCTGCCTTTCTAAACTGTGTCAGGGAGATTTTAGGGACTGGTGTCGGTCCACGGACTCGTCATTGAACAACACTGGTCTAAAAGACCCTGGTGGAACAAAGAAGGGGAGGTGTGAGATATCAAAGGCTGCCTGGTGCAGAGTCTGAGAGAGAGAGAGAAGCTGCAGCAAGAAGGCTGTTTCTCCTAACTCAGAGATTAATGAATTTATCAAAGCTTGTAAGGAAATGTTAAGAGCTAGGTAAAGGGAAATAGACATATAGGCCTTCGTTTTTACCCTTTGCTCTGCATAAACTGTACCTTTTGAGTGAATGAATATGTTATGCTTTCTTTCGAAGAAGCTGTTTTTATCACTTTTTTTTGGCTGCTGTTGCAGGCTCCTGGAGGTAAAGAGTTCACAGGTGCCAAACCCAGTTGACTCTGTCATGTTAACACTCTTGAGAAACAGATGCTGCAACCCAGAGATCCAGTTCCAAAGTGATTGGAACACTGGATTCCACCCTGGAGACGGGTGGAGGGGAGCCAGGGATCTAAAGTGCAACTTGCCCTGTAACCATGGCCCCTGCTTTTGAAGAGAGGACTGAAGTACTGGCTAATATGTGGGGATGATATTGTTTGTATGTGGAGCTGTAGCCTACTGAAAGGAGTGAGCTGGCTGAAATTTGTACTTGCATTTATTTTAAATAACTGAAAATGCTCAGAGTCCATGTGTGGCACTTTTTATTCTGAAGCATAAGAAAAAATAAAAATCAATAAATGGAATCAGTGTTGAGCAGATGAAGTGTAGTTTACAGTTATCTGGTTTAGAACTTAAATGTAATCAACCAGGCAGCACACACATTCCCTACAGAAATTCACAGATCAAGCAATATTTGAAATTATTTAGTAGAGTAATAGTCTGTTTAAAGTTTCTACAGATGATTGAAAACTCGGATTACTTTTGATCCTTTTCTATTTTTAGAGTTCGGAATGAGCTGCTGATATTGTCTGGTTACGCTGGTGCTTTACTTGCTATTAGAAGACAGTATGCTAGCATTGTACCTGCACTTTATGAATACACAAGGTAATATTAATTATATACCTATTTGCACTGCAGTAGCACCCAGGAGCCTTCGTCAGGATTATGATACATAGTAAGAGAGAGCCCCCAGAAGCTTATCAATCTAAAGTCCCATTCATGCAATGAGCACATGAGGATGTACTCCTATGCTCACCCAGAGCTCCATTGGCTTCTTGCATTGCACAGGCACAAGGTCAGCCTGAAAACAGAATTTGGGCCTCAGTCAAACTGTGTGGTCCTGAAAGAAAAGATTGTTTTTTATAAGTAAATAGATATTCTAGATCTTCTCCTTGCTTTATCATAAGTTATCAATTGTAAATTGTACTTTATAATTTTATTTGACTGAAATTGATTTGGGAAATAACAACAGGATGAGATATTCTCTTTTATAAGAGAAACAAGAAGCTAAGGAAAAATAGGTTAGTAATAATCTATTTGTGACACTTAAGACATCAAGCTTTGAGGCGTCCTGGGGCTCACAGAATCCATGTAGGTTTCAGGAGAACAAGGACCCTCTAAAGCTGTATTTCTTTAGCCTGACCCTGCAAGACCTATAAAATCCACGACAATCTGACCTCATAGCTTTTTATGCTCCAATCCAACAAAGCACATAAGCACATGAGATGTCCCAGTAAAGTCAAATGGCCCTGTATATATGCTTAAACATAAGTACATGCATGCTTGTAGAATCAGGGACTGAGTAAACTGAAAAGCTGTCCCTCTTTTCTTGCTCTGGTTTATGTAAAATTAGGTCCAGTGTTAGTTTTCTGAAAATTCCTATTTCCACATGTACTCAGACAAGACAAGGTTGTTTCAGATATTGTGCTAAATAACATTACACTGATCCACTTAACCCTCCAACATCCTCAGATATTGTATTTATCATTTCAGCATACACCAGTCAGTAATACGTATCAAGGCACACAATTCCTATAAGATTCAATAACTATCATTTTAAAAAAAAAGCGCATATAGCTTTAAAAATAGACTTCAAAGGAAAACTCTGCAGTTAAATCAAGATAATTATATATGAAAATATAAAAACTAATAATTCCTAAATGTAACTCTAGTGGTATAGCAAAAATATCCAATTTTATGGTCAATTCAACATTTACTCAAAGACAGATTCATATTTCTAATTTCTAGCTTCTTTTCCCTTCAATTCTAACAATGTATATTTTCTTGATTTAATTTTTTTCTGTGGGAAGATATTTTAATTAGTTTTTATTTCTTTTTTTAGTCAGCTTTTAAAACGACGGGAGGTATCTGTACCCCTGAAAATTGAACAGCTTTCTGAGGAACTAGATGCTTGGAGAGCTTGTACTCAGTTCGTCAACAAGTACGTGTGAAACATAAAGTTATCATAATAAAATTACTATGATTTAAATATGCTCATTGTAAATACAATGTTTATCTCATTTTTTCTTTGTAGAATATGACTATATCAATTTATGTAAAAATTAAGATACTTCATTTTGAAATAATATTCTTTGTTTTTGTGCATTTTGAGGTATACTGCAAATGAAATGCATAGCTTAAAATGAAATATATTTTACTCTCAGATCTACTGATGAATTATCATATACCCCTCCATCCGAATCACAGAGAATGGTTTATTCAACATTGGTATCACGAATAAAAGAAGAGCCTCTTAAAGGAATTATTGGACCAGATTACGTCACTGGGTCTAATCTTCCTAGTCACTCAGATGTTCACATCTCTTGTTTGACAGGGTTAAGGATACAGGTACCATTTTATGGAGCCTGAGTGCTCTTTTTGGAATACTTCATAAAATAACAGTTACTTTAAAGACAGTCAAACCAATTGTTTTCAAGTGAAGAGACTGAATAAAAATTGAAAATAGTTGAGGCTTGCAGCATTCTCAAAGAAAACCTCTGAGGAAGAAGGGGCAAGTTGGAATATTGCTATTGAGTACCCTGCAATGGCAGAAGCTGCCATTTTGCCTTGGAGGACACTGTCCTTAACTACAGTAGGCTATACAGAAAAGAAAAATTTCAGGAGGAAAAAATATTTGAAATCCCCAATTGGAGCAGTCAAAAGTTTTTAGTCTGTATAAGGAATAGAAATGTCTCTTAGCACAGGAGTGGGCAAACTACGGCCTGCGGGCCAGAGCCGGCCTATCAGGGCTTTGGATCCAGCCCGCAGGATTGCCACCCCTGTGGCATCATGGGCCCCACGCAGCTTCCGGAAGCGATTAGCACCACGTCCCTGCGGCTCTTGGGAGTGAGGGGGCAGAGGGCTCTGTGCGTCGCCCTCACCTGTAGGCACCGCCCCCCACAGCTCCCATTAGCCGGGAACGGGGAACCACGGCCAATGGGAGCTTTGGGGCAGGTACCCGCAGGCGAGGGCAGTGCACGGAGCCCTCTGTCCCTCCTTCTTCCCCCCTGGGGCCGCAGGGACGTGGTGCTGGATGCTTCCAGGAGCGGCACGAGACCAGGGCAGGCAGCCTGCCTGAGCGCCGCTGCGTGCTGCTGCCACCCCGGAGCTGCTCCAGGTAAGCGGCGCCAGACCGGAGCCCACACTCCAAATCCCTCCTGCACCCCAACCCCCTGCCCTGAGCCCCCTCCTGCACTCCAACCCCCTGCCCTGAGCCCCTGTGTACACCCCACACCTCTCCTCCGCTCCAACCCCTTGCTCTGAGCCCCTTCCTGCACACTGCACCACTCCCGCACCCCAACCCCCTGCTCCAGCCCTACATTCATGGCCCTGCATGCAATTTCCTCACCCAGATGTGGCCCTCGGACCAAAAAGTTTGCCCACCCCTGTCTTAGCATATGCTGTTTTAATATATGCGAGCTATTGCCAACCTCACCGTGGTTTGACTTGAAAACAATTTAAAAGTTTTATTTTAGACTTCACACTGTCCTTAATGTGTTGGAAATATGTGTTATAATATGCATTTCTAGAGTGCCAACCACTACAGTACCCAGGAGCCATTACATGAATTAAAAACATACATCGGTGATCCTTCAGAGGACAGTTCTCATCTTTTCCCCATAATTAAATAATAAAGGATACACTTTCAAACATGACTATCAGCTTTCAATTACATTTATGACTTATACAGTGCTTTGTGATCAAAGTATTTAACATATATTAATCCTCAGTAAATTCCTGTGAGGTACGTATTATTATTATTGCCATTTTTACAGATAGGGAAACAGACCGAGATTCTCAACTCTGCCAGGCACGTTTCTCTAGACCATGCTGCCATTTGAAGACATTGTGGGCTTGTACACTCCAGCGCTTACTTCGGTATAACATAAGTCACTTGTGGGTGTGAAAAAGCCACCCCCCTGAGTGACAAGCGTTACTGCTGCTCATGGAGGTGCAGTAATTATGCCGACAGGAGAGTATACATACTCAATAGCCACACAGGAAGAATTAATTAACTATAAGATAGTTTGTAAATATTACAGAATTATTATTTTAAGATGTAGCTAACTCAGGAATTTAGGAAATGTAAAATTTGGGCTTGCAGATTTTTAGGACACATCTGTTTACCTGATAAGTATAGCATTATAAATTGAGTATGAAAGTTTTAGTCAGACTTGATTATAACAGGTATAACTTTTTAAGCCTGTAAAGCTATTACATAAATTAGCATTGTATTCTCTATTCATTTTCATCTCAGATGAAGTAAAAATGTGCATTTGCTAGACTGCATCTCTTCTGGGAGTATGGAGACATGATGTGTATCTTTTTCCTTCCCCCCTCAAACATTCACAGGGTCCAGTGTTTTTCCTTGAAGATGGAAAATCAGCTATTTCACTGAATGATGCTTTGATGTGGGCCAAAGTGAATCCCTTCTCACCATTAGGAACAGGAATACGACTCAACCCATTCTGATAAGACTTTTTCCTCTGTAGTGCTTAAAACAAGTAACATCCAGTAGGTTAACATTACTTTAACCTTGATTGTTGAAGGATAGAAAGATGGCAGTTGATTCTTCCTGAAGGACAATTATTTGAATTTTGCAAAATGTAAATGAGAAAATGAAAAATAGATTTATATATATATATATAAAGTTATATGATAATCCAAAGAAAAAATGTCCTTACATAATTGACAGCCATGTTTTTTTAAAAAAGAGAATACTGTCAGACAACATAAAAACATTTCAGTAATTTTTTGTGAGCAAATTGTAAACCAAGTAAAGAAATATCTGAACATTAGCAAAATACTGGGGTAGCTGAAACTGTGAAATTCAGAAGACATTATTAAATACATCAGTATGCATTTATGCTTTTATGAATTGCCACTGAGATACAGCTGAGTTTCATACATTCTGTATGCCCTTTTGTTTGTATCTAATACTTGGTAAAATGTGATTCTAAAGAGTGATAGTGTAAATTAAATGACAACATAGTCAAAATACTTCAATTTTTAATTAAAAAATCTTTCCATACAATAAATATTGAAGCTTTAACAGGAAAAGAGAAGTCATTTTGATGAATATCTAGATTAGGATAAATTATTCTATTTTCTAATAAATCCATCTTTAGCACTTCCCCCATTATATTTTATTGAGCGCTAAAATGTGTTCTATGAACCTTATTTTTTAATAAATAGCTTGTAAGTAATAAACAGCTTATTTAATGAAAATTATTGAAATACATTATGTAAATTAAAATTTTTGTTTTTTAATTTTGTATAGATTGTAAAAATTTGTATGGTATTGAGGATCTGATACATAAATATGTGGGCATTGCTTTATTTAGTTGGATGGTTAGTTCACATATAGTATCATGTGCGCAAATGAAAGAAAAAATGATGGCAGTAGAATATTTTATTCTAAAAATTGTTCATAATATCGAATACCTGCCTGAGAAGACCAGTTGTTCACAGATAGAATTGTTCTTCCATCAAATAGTATTAGAAATCCTTTTGCTGGGTTCCCTGATCTGCATGTTAGTGGCACTGTTCTCATCAGCTTCACTTTCTCTTTCCCCTGCCTCTCCCTCCCCGCCCCCCCCCAAAAACAAACAAACATTATTCTGGTTACGATATCAAGAGATAATAATAAAAATGACTGAAAATGTTTTAAATAACCTGTTCAAAATAGGAATAACACAAGATATAGCCCTTCTCATCGTAAAATGCCTTGCAAACCTAATCCTCACACGATCCCTATGAGGTAGTAAGGAATGTCCTCATTTTACTAAGTGGAAACTGAGATAGAGAGGCTAGCTGATCAGCCCTAGGCTACAGAGGAAGTTAAAACTCAGGAATTCTATGAAATATGGAAAAAACAAACATTTTTCTTTTTTTAGTTTAAAGTTAATAATTTTATTCCACAAAGGGCTTATTGAATTTATTACAGATTTTTGGCGCCTCAAATAAATAGTACATCCTAACTACCAGCCCTTGTTTTGCAAGAGAGTTAGGTATCACTTTATTGCTTCTACCATTTGAGATTTGTTTCTCTTTGTTTAATTATATGGAGTTTGGGGAATGAGAGTTGGAATTCAGAAAAAAGAACCATTATACTAATTTGTGGAAGAACTATAACCGCTCCAGCTGTGAATAAACTATGGTTATTTTTGTTGAATCAAAGATCAGTAGTTACCTTGTGCTGTGTGACTTGTATGTCCGATGTGTATGTAAAAGAAATATAGGCATTTTCAGATGGGGAAAGATGGAGAGGATTGATCATAAACACCAAAGTTTGTTTAACTGTATGAATTGGAATCTGAAGGATTGACTCAACTGCCACTCTATTCTTTAAATCTTTGGTAATATCCTGAAGATTTGTACTTAAGTCTTTTAAATAATTATAAATATGTAGTAAAACTGCATCAATTTGTGGAAGTTGTGCCTTAGTGTGGAATCTCAGACAAATCTATTCCCGCTTTTGACACTGAGGGAGGCAAATTATTTTTTCATTGTTAGGTTTAGAGTATAAAAATTGAGTTAAAGGGCATTTTTTATATTAGAAATATGTCTGCTAATAGTCTTTGTGAACAAAAATTATGTTGTATTTGCTTTAAGGTAGTCCTTACCCTATGTGGGGGGAAAACGTAAGAAAACATATTGTAAATGTGCATTTACTGTTACAATAAATGTAGTCGTAACTGTCAAAACATAGCTGCATCAATGTTTTCCAAAATAATTTCAGGTTGTTTGCTAAAATGTGATTTCATTGTCAAGCAGAACTGCTCAACTATAGCTATTTCCCCTCCATATTAAAAAAAAAATTTCTGATGTCTTCACCTTCAAATAATTGCTATACAGTGTCTGAATTTCTCTATTGCTTTCCAGGCAAAAATACTAAAAGCCGTAAAACTTTTATATCCTGTAACAGGTGCTCTGAAAAAATCTCTTATGATCTTAGTGTTCTTGTAATAAGTGCTAAACTAATAAAATGTCTCTACCAAAGTCACAGGTTTATCAAAATGAAGAAAAATATGTCAAAACTATTACTATTGTTCTAAGCTTCAGAGACTGGAGACAAACACCATGATGATTTAAAACAAAACAAAAATCCAACTGAAATAAAAAAAATGATTTTTTAAAAATAACCCTATTTTAAAGTACATTTGAAATTGACAACTTATAATAAAATCATGTACATTGAATACAAAAAATAAGTAGTACATGTTTGATGTAAAGTTTTAAAGTCAGATCACTGAACTGCTGAGGCTCAATTTCAGAGGGGTGTAGCCATGTTAGTCTGTTTCAGCAAAAACAACGAGGAGTCTTGTGGCACCTTAAAGACTAACAAATTTATTAGAGCATGAGCTTTCGTGGGCTATGACCCGCTTCTTCAGATGTATGGAGAGAAAATTACAGTAGGCAGGCATATTTAGATTTACTTTGAACGCTTCAGATCCTATGAAAGCTTATGCTCTAATAAATTTGTTAGTCTTTAAGGTGCCACAAGACTCCTCATTGTTTTTGCTGGGACTCACTAGATAACCACTTGGAACCAGAGTTTGTTGAACCAGCTTTTGACAGCAGTAGCCTCTTCTGAAGATGCAGAGAGAATATCTTCATTTTGGTTTATTTAACTAGTTTAGTTCAATGATTAGTCCATTCAAAGTTAAGAAACTGATTGGAAGCTGAAAAGGCAGAAGGCTTGGTTTTACCTCTTCCAATCTATAAATAAAAATTAGATATGAGAGGATGAAATTTACTAGTTTTAAATTTTTGAAGAGTATGTTTACCAGAAATAATCAATTCAATTCACTAACCGATAATGCTTCCCCTTTGTTTAGTAACCCAGTTAGCTTAAAATGTAAAACATTTTTGATAAAAGTTTATGAATTTAGCACATTTAAAGTAGTTATATTTAATAAAAAATAAAATGCTGTTTTTCTGCATTTTAATTAATTTGAATTTCCACTGAAATAGAACTTGACACAAATCAAAAGTAGAACATTAATCATCTACTAAGAAATGCATTATTTTCAAATATAAAAAAATTAAAAATTAAGAATGTGAATAAGTGTAAATTTATATGACTTGTGTTACACAGGAGGTCAGATTGGATGATCATAATATTTCCTTCTGGCCTTGGAATCTATGAAAGCTGTGTAACTGCTTAAATGTATATAGATATAATGTATCCTTCTGGTTAGCCAAAAAAAAAAAAGCACCAAATTTAGTGTAAAGAATAAATTTAGTTGAACATCACCATTTTTTAAACAAATGATTACCAATCACCGAGCATCAACTTTTTTTCTGAAAGTAACTAAAGTACAAAGGCAAAACATGATTAACATAGATTATTTTAAAGCAAGGTGTCCTACTTGCTAATATAAATCATGATTAAAATTGATAGTTAAATCACTTTGATTTAAATCAGCTCCCCGCTCCCTATTCAGATCCTTACCTTGCACAGATTTTAATATATATAATAACAGAATCATTTCCAAGGGAGTTTTCAGCTGCCACAGATTATAAGATTCCATTAAAAATATATGTTCCTAATTTTCCATTCTGAAGAGCACCTTCAAAATGTACATGAATTAATGGGACACTGAAAAAACTGTTTCTCCTGAAATAGAGTTACAGCCTACACATCCTTTGAAAGGCATGCATAAGCAGGATAATCACTGATGCAAGAAACAATTTTAATTGCTTTAATTTGGATATAACAACTTCTAAAGCTGTGAAGGGAGAGATTTTTCTCCAACAAACTAGATTTATTTACTTTGAACACTTCAGATCCATACACTTATACATGAAGGAAACGAAAGCCATGACCAGCTTTGATATAGATAAGTTACTAAAAAAATAATAATCTTATTTCTAAGGGTAGGTCTACACTTACCCGGTAGTTCGGCGGCAAGCAAATCGAACTTCTGGGTTCGACTTATCGCGTCTTGTCTGGATGAGATAAGTCGAACCCGGAAGTGCTCGCCGTCGAGTGCGGTACTCCAGCTCGGCGAGAGGAGTACGCGAAGTCGACAGGGGAGTCTGCCTGCCGCGTCTGGACCGAGGTAAGTTCGAACTAAGGTACTTTGAACTTCAGCTACGTGAATAACGTAGCTGAAGTTCAAAGTACCTTAGTTCGAATTGGGGGGTTAGTGTAGACCAGGCCTCAGATTGTAAAAAAATGTACAGTAGGTCAAGATACAAAAGGACACAAAGTACAACTGTCAAATTTATTCAACTCATCACATCACAATGGCAAAAAGTTTGACTACACATCATCATTACTCATCTTGCACCACTGCAATCTGTAAATTGGAAAATTTCACTAACAAAGAACTTGAAATATTAAAAACAACTCAATCTAGCAAGTAATCAAGTCTAGGAGGAGGCTGAGCTGTAAAAGCAACTGTGGTACCAAGTCACTGAAGGAAGCCGTCTAACAATAGGGAAACTACAATGATGTATATTTTAGATACTGCTTTGTTTAGTGATGATTTAGCTTGTCACACTTCCACAAACATCAGATTTCCAATATGTATTTTGTTTTGGCATTTACTAGAAGAAAATAATGCTCTGATTTAACAGACACTGAAACCAATCAGGCAATTCTCTCCCAATGGCTATGGTCAAAGAATTATAAAGTTGATCTTGTACGTTTTCAAAGTTGAGGTCTCTCCAATACTTTTTTTTCCAGTGTTCAGTTAGAATCCTTTTGGCCAGGTGCTTAGAGTTGCCGCACTTATACATCCACAGTAAAAGAGCCTCTGTCAGCTTGTTTCACCTGGATTTCTTTGAAGTGAACACCAGTTTTGCCTCTGATTTCTGGGAGCCCTAGGTCTAAGAAAAGAAGCAATTGAATAACGCAACCATGTACTTTTGCTGCTGATTTATTATCAAACAATTTAATTATAAAAACATGTCCTTTTGAATACAATGAAATTTATCTCAAACTGCCAACACAGTGTGTACCCTTTTAGCTCTACTGGTATAACCAATAAGTCCCTTAGTATGGATGCAGTTAAACTGGTATAAAGTTGCTTATACCAGTTAGCTTACAGACACTCCCCGATTTATGCAATCGTTCCGTTCCGGAAAGCCTTGTGTAACCTGAATTTTACGTAAGTCGGAAATGTATATTGTGCAAGCATAAAAAACAAACAATTACAACAAAAATATTGCATCTACCTTAATCCTATTGTTATTCTGGCACACTGAAGGCTGCATTTTGGTGGTGGATGACAATGGGCTTAATTTGTAGATGAGGAGGAGACAGGCATGATTTGAATGAAATAATAGGGTGAAGTAACAGAAATACGGTTTCACTGAAATAACAAGAGACTGAGAGGCTGCGAGAGCGCAACGCCTTCCCTTGTAGAAGATGCTACTGCTGTATTCCTCCGCATTACAGTACTTTGCATTCCCGTACGCTACACAATATTTTCCGCAACTCGAAAATTTTATTTATGCCTTATGGAACTTTTTGCATAAGGTCGAATTTGCGTAAGTCGGGTCTTGTGTAACCCGGGGAGCGTCTGTATTTCCATTGATATAAGCACCTTTAGACTGATAGAACTGCAGCCACCCCAGGGGTTGGACAAAGTTAACTATCCTGATAGAAAAAAAAGCACACCTCTAACCAAAACAGTTAAATCTCTACAAAAACTGTGCAGACCAGGCCACAGTATACTTCAAACTATCATAGTAGATTTGTTATTGGACTCTTCTATAATACCATGATCAAGATTCCACATGAAATCACTCACTAGGAGACTCTGCCAATCCACTTCCCACTTCTATTGGCGATTGCAAAGAACAGCTGAACTGTGATACCGAAGTCATTTAGACTATCTAATACGATTATCATAGTATCCAAGTGCATCACTCTAATATATTTATCCTCACGACATCCCTGTGAGGCAGAAAGTACTAGGTGACAGAAGCAAGGGTGATCTGTAATAATTAATCAATACTGTATACTTTACATGTGTGTCTGATTGAATTCATATAGTAAACCTCTAAGGGTCAATTCAAGAGTAGGCTACCAACACTTAAGGGGCCTGCTGGGGTAAACACGGTTGATACAGGGTACTGTAGCCCAGGATCTGACCGGAGAGTGGGAGAACTGCAAAGTTGCATCCCACAAGGCCCTGAAGGGGTGCATTCAGACAATGGAAGGAAGAAAGTGGTGCTAGTCCTGTAACCATAACATTACTACCCCCATTTTTTTCTTTTCACAAACAGTGACCACAGGCATAGAGTGAAGTCTGTTGGAACTGAACCGTTGGGGAATTGAACTGTTGTCTCCTAAGTACTAGAATGGAGTTCTAACTGCTGGACCATCCTTCTGACTAGTATCCACCCTTGCACAGTTCTGACCAGTTTAAACTCTGGTCCACTGTGGCCGTCGGCCATACAAGCTGTCTTGGAACCTTTTCCATCTAGTTAAAATTTCTTAGGTATTTTACAAACCCTACTTTTTTCTTTGTGAGGAAAAGCTTCGACTAATATTCTCAAAGGTTCACTGTCTGACTTCAAGATATCAATAAAAAGGCTATCTATGCAATCAGGCAAGATAAATAGAACTCCCAACAAAGTCAATGGGTGAATAAGGACCGCAGGATTTCTCCATTGGGGAGCAAGTAAAAAACATCTGTTACCATTACACTAGAGAAGGAACTGCCTTCAGACTGTGCTACTAAGTATAGTGGAAGTTCTGAATCATAAGCCAAAACATTATGGTGCAGAAGAGAAGCAATTTTGACTCCTGAAATATAAGTAGCTGCCACTGAGGCTCAGAAGAACTTTTTGGAGTAGTTATTTTCTAATAAGGTCCAACAGTTTACTTTGAAAGCCATGTATAGACTTTGTTTTAGTAAAAAGACCACTTATCCAAGTAATCAAAGTAAAACAAAAAAAATCAATCCAATGGAAGAGATTGAAATGAAAGCTTACTTGATATAAAAGAAAGTTGCTCTCTCTGGATGTTAATCGCACTCCCAGAGGGACCTACAGCAGCCGGATGACGAACTGCACGTTCTGCCAAGCTTGGTTTAATGTTAAACCGCTCTTCAAAACACAATTACAATTCATTCATTATAGTCCACATAGTCATAGCCTTCATACAATTAATTGGCCAATTATTCAAAGTGATTTCTTTTCTTATTTAAAAGACACTTCCACCTATAAAAACTAAATAAAGAAACCAAAATCATCACAAACTCTAGCAAAAGAAAAAAGTGCTCTGGCAAAAAATAGCATTTTATTCTGCAAAAGCTATCCACAAGGTGACACACAAAATGAGTTATAAGGTGACAGTGCACCTTGGTGTGTATGTGGTGGTGGGTTTGGGGTTTTTTTTTTTTTAAGTAGGCTATGACATGCTTTAGCAATCACATTGTGGGAAGACTAAGGATATGTCTATACTTAAACTGCTACAGTGGCACAACTGCATCTTCTCCACTGTAGACATTACCTACGCTGACGGGAATGGTTCTCCCATTGGCACGGGTAATTCGTCTTCCCGAGAGGCAGCTGCTAGGTCAATGGAAGAATTCTTCCGTTGATCCAGTGCTGTCTACACCCAGGTTTTGCTCGGCATAGCTATATCTCTGAGGGGTGTACATTTTTCACACCCCTAAGTAACATAGCTCTGTCGATATAAAATCTCAGTGTAGACCAGCCCTTAATCCGAGATAGGTCTTATCCTTAAATAAGCATTAGAAGCTGTTTTACAACAGATTACAATGTGCATCTCTGAATAGTCAGGTGTATTAGTGCTGAGTTTGGCCAACTAAATAAAGCACTCTGAAGAACAAAAGCAATAAGTATTATTATTTTGTTCTCATTTATTACTTGACACACAGAATGTCCACTGTCATTATAGAAATCTGAGCCTTTTGACCCACGAGTTTAAGTTTAGACAAATTTTGACAATGTGTCTTTTCTACTGACAATCCGGACTGATGCTCCCGTTTGTGCCATATCAATCTGTGTCCTGTAATACTTTCAAACTTTAGTGGTATACTCCTAGAAAATGTTGCTTAGAGCTTAAGGCTCTGAACCCGTAAACACTTACATGGGAGGGGAGGGGGAGAGGACTCAGTGTCTAGCCCCACGTGGTGCCTTTTCCCTTTGGGAAATATGGTCACCCTGCCCCAGTGGGATGCTGTGGCAAAAGGAAGTACTGTGTTCCTCAGATGTATAAAGTGGGGAGTAGGAATAAGGAGGTGATATTACCTCTGTATATGGCTTTGGTTAGACTGATTCTGACATATTGCAACCAGTTCGGTTGTCCACATTTTAAAAAAGATGTTGAAAAACTGAAAAGGGTACAGAAAAAAGACACACAAAAAATCACTTGAGGGATGGAAAAACTGCCTTGCAGTGTGATATAAAGAGCTCAATCAGTTTATCTTATCAAAAAGAAGATTTGAGTGATGACTTGTTACAGTGTATAAGCACCTTTACGAGATGAAAATACCAGGTACTAAAGGGATATTAATGTAGTGGAAAATGGCATAAGAACCAGGAAGCTGAAACCAAGCAAGTTCAAATGAAAAAATATGTTGCCATATTTATAACAGTAAGGATGGTTAACCATTGGAACAAACTATGAACAGAAGTGGTACATTCTCCATCTCTTGATGTCTTCAAATCACGACTGGATACCTTTCTGGAAGATATGCTTTAGTCAAAGAAGTTATGGGCCATGGCGCTTCATACAGAGGTAACTGGGTGAAATTTAACTGCCCATGATACACAGGCGGTCAGACTAGATGTCTTATGGTTTCTTTTGGTCTTAAACTCTATGAATCTTAGTAAAGTTAAGCACATGTGTTAGTGTTTGCAGGATCAGGGCCTCATACAGACCAGCTGCTTTTTAGCAAATTCACCCAAGATCATAATGTGAAAAAGAATTAAACAAAATAGTTAAGCAAGCTCAAACTAAAACTAGTTGATTTAAAAGTACACCTCTACCCCGATATAACGCGACCTGATATAACATTAATTCAGATATAACGCGGTAAAGCACCGCTCCGGGGGAGGGGGGGTGCTGCGCACGCCGATGGATCAAAGCAAGTTCGATATAACGCGGTTTCACCTATAACGCGGTAAGATTTTTTGGCTCCCGAGGACAGCGTTATATCGAGGTAGAGGTGTATGTATTTCACTTTCCACTCTTAAAGGCTTTCTGAGAACATTTGAAATATGGGCCAACTCACTACATTCCCCAGGCTCACTGTCCAATTAAGTTAAATTTACCTGATAAGTGAAAACTTAGGTTCAATGCATCCCTGTTTGTATGTTTTTACTAGCAGGAAATCAGTGGTGTACCAAGGAAAATCTCTGCTGCAGAAACACTTCAACTATTTAGAGTTAAGCCAGCTAAAGAACTGATCATGGCACCAGCAGCTTTTAATGCAAAGGAATGGCAAAATGTGGATGAATCACTTGTAAGTAATATGGCAAGGGTGGAAACTTTATCTGTTACTTCAGCTATATTCCATCATTATTATATCACTAATATTAATATATCATCTAAGTATCACTGTTCACTTTGAATGCAACTGGCTGAAAATGTTTCCTCAAATGATGCAATCACAAAGTGGTCTGATGTTTTCTTTATAATTTCCTAAGCACAAAATCATGATCTAATCCTCTTCATGTTACTTACACCAATAGTTCCACTAACTTCAGTGGGGTTGTGACAGTGTGCCCCATAAGGCTTCATGGGAATATGCTTCTGAGTATATATATGATATAACTAGAATATGTTTTATGCTACATATGCCATGTAACATATCTCTGTAAAGGTTATGATCTACTGGATCTATTAATTGTATGCATGTATAATTTTTGTATTAAAAGTTATGAACATTGGCTGGGCACCAGCTTGGTTTTTCAGGCTAGGTCTACACTACCTGCCTGAATCGGCGGGTAGAAATCGACCTCTCAGGGATCGAATTATCGCGTCTCGTTGGGACGCGACAATCGATCCCCGAATCGACGCTCTTACTCCACCAGCGGAGGTGGGAGTAAGCGCCGTCGACGGGAAGCCGCGGAGGTCGATTTTGCCACCGTCCTTACAGCGGGGTAAGTGGGCTGCGATACGTCGAATTCAGCTACGCTATTCGCGTAGCTGAATTTGCGTATCTTAAATCGACCCGCCCCCCCCGTAGTGAAGACCTGCCCTAAGTAGCCTTTGTAAAGCATTTTGTCAGCTTCTTGAGAAAGGAATATGCAAATTAAGTGCCCAACCGAGAAGCACTTAAGGGACAACGGATCCTGGGAGGCTCCAATCTGCGTAAGAAGTCTCCATGAGGACGTTCAAGGGAGCAGGGAAGCAATGGCTGAGTCAAACTGAGTCTTGCATGGACATGTGACTTGCCCATGTGACTCCAAAACTCCATCTTGGAGCTGGACTTGGCATAAGGGAGAGGAAGGGGTCTCCACCCACAAGAGAAAGTCTACTTAAACCCCTGGGAGACCCCTCCATTTGGTCTTCAGCTAGCTAAAGAGATAGCCTCTCCACCCCCAAAGATACCTGAAAGAGACTGGAACAAAGGACAGTAACTACAGGGGGTGTGAGTGATTGCTGGACCCAGACTAGAAGGAGACTAGTTTGTAAAAGGAAGCTTACTGGAACTGGTGAGGTATTATCTGTATTCAGTTTTCTTAGACATAGACTTGCGTGCTGTATTTTATTTTACTTGGTAATTCACTTTGTTCTGTCTGCTATTACTTGGCACCACTTAAATCCTACTTTCTGTATTTAATAAAATCACTTTTTACTTATTAATTAACCCGGAGGGGGGGGGAACAACTGTGCATCTCTCTCTATCAGTGTTATAGAAGGCGAACAATTTATGAGTTTACCCTGTATAAGCTTTATACAGGGTAAAATGGATTTATTTGGGATTTGGACCCCACTGGGAGTTGGGCATCTGAGTGTTATAGACAGGAACACTTCTGTAAGCTGCTTTCAGTTAAGTCTGCAGCTTTGGGGCACGTGGTTCAGACCCGGGGTCTGTGTTGGAGCAGACTGGCATGTCTAGCTCAACAAGACAGGGTGCTGGAGTCCCAAGCTGGCAGGGAAAGCAGGGGCAAAAGTAGTCTTGGCACATAAGTTGGCAGTCCCAAGGGGAGAGGAAGTGACAAGTCGTAGTTAAAGCAAGCATGACTTGGCCTAAAGATAGTTCAAATATTTGCCTGTTTTCCATTTTCAATCATTAGACTAACAAACTAGGACAGTGAACATGGGAAACAATCAGTTGCACCACATACATTAGTTCTTTATACTTGCTTTGAAAAACCACTCACTTGGGTTCTCTTCCCTCTCTACCAGTCTCTGTTGCATATGCATATTGATGATGGCATTAACCTTTTGTCTATTTTTGTTAATGTTGGGCTCTATCATTATTTCTGTTAGCTTAATGTTATTCTTGATAGCCTTTGAAGCTGTTGACCTGGCGACCATCGGTAACTGCTCCTGATAATAGTGGTCTGTAAAGTCAACCTCATCCTGAATATTTTTAATTCTGGGGGGAGAAAAAAAAAAAGCAAATGTTAATGAGTCAGTTATGTTACTACTAATAAATACTGAACACATTATGATGTTTAACACCTTTCAAGACCCTGGTTACATATTACTAATGAATTCTCACAATTCCATTGTGTGGAAGGTATTATCTCCATTTTATAAATGGGGAAACCTTAACACAGAGATAAGCGATTTGCCCAAACCCACAGAGACAGAGTCAGTGTCCAGGCCTGGAAGAGAATACAGGAACTCCTGGTGCTCAGTCCACTAGACCAAAATTCTCAAACTTTTTTCAAAGTATGGACCATTCTTAAGAGAGAGTCTTCTGTGGGCCATCACATTCCAGTTCATGATTGTGTAACATGTTCAAGTCACAACTGAAGCCAGAGACACAGAGAGCAGCAAGAGCTTTCTACAGCTGTCTATCCTGGGAGCCGAACATGCAGACACTTGCTGATGCAAGTTACTTCATTCAAGTAATCATGACTAAAGTTGTTCACATGCATAGGACTCTTCACATATGCCTAAAGACTGCACAGCAGTCAGCGCTTCAGGCTTACTCCCTATGGTGGGGACTACAAAGGAGGCTAATGTAAGGCTACTTATGTCAGCCCTATGTTGCTCCTGTGCTGGGGAAATTCTCTTGCAGCTCACTTATGCCTTCTATATGCCACCACGGTGATTCATTGGGCGCAAAGTGAAGAGCAGAATTTGTCTATATAAACCTATAAAGCTTGATTATTAGAAACTCACTGAGTTGTCTGGTAATTCTCTTGGTGGATGGTAACACTTAAACCACAAATCTCTGAAATCCACTGGAGGGAAGGGGCATCCATAAAAATGTCCCTTAACACCATTTTGCTGCCTGGCCACAGAAAACACACTGACAGTAGCTTCCCTGACCATGGCTGTCCCTGTAGCCCTCATCAGCGGAGCTCATTACTGCAGAGGAGTCAGTAGTATAAGTTGCTGCACTCTTTGTCTACAATAACATACACAAGGTTCCACAAGTGTGCTGAGGGGTTAAGAATCTAGTAGAACTAGACCATGGTCAACTCCATACACAGAGCTGGGGTTCTGCTGCGTTGGGGAAAGTTAAGCATGTTCTGAAGAAGCGGCACTCCCTCTTGCACATCCCCCACTTTAGCTCTGTGGACATAAGCTCCTTTACACTCAGAGAATTGGAGGAGAGCATATGGATCTCTGGTTTTATGCTTATAAACCCCATCTGTTTTATTAACGGGTTTGCTCTTTATACTAGTTTTATTTTATTTAGTGAATTTCAGGGCTGCTAAGAAGCATGCTGATAACCACTTTAAAGAGATCCTAGGTAATACTATGTGCTCTGCAAGCTTTCACACACAATACTAAATACCTCATTGTCAATTAAACAACTTTGCTTTTTCAATTAATGAACCAGAGCAGAAGGACTGTGGTGTTTTTGGTGATGTGGGCAAAGGTTCACTAGGGATTTAAATGTTATTTTACTCGTGAAGCAGGCATCAGATCCAGGCCCTACTGAAGTCAATGGCAAAACTCCGATTGACTTCACACCGGGGCTTCGGAAATCTGAAGGTTTTGAGTAATATTTATATACTACTCATTAATATGCTACTAAAGTGAATCATCTAAACCTGATACATAATACACTTCTGTAAACAGCACTCACCGTCCATTTGTCAGCATTGAGTAGATGTCTTGTACCAACATTTCTGCTGCTCCCGGTTTACAGTGAATTGTCCCATCTATTAGTTCTTGAACAGGCTTCAAATTTCTTTTGGAAAAAAACTATAGCAAAAAATAAAAACAGAGATCATTTCAGTTCCTATTAGTTGAGAGGCACAGGTCCATCCTTCCATGCTTTTTACTTGATGTGTGATGGCTCACTTTGTTGTCTCTCAGCCTCTTTCCAATCCAATCCCACTCAAACCCTCACCCTGTAACCAAAATGACAAGCAATTAAAGAAAGTATGCAATATTATGGGTGAGAACTGAAATATAAACTGAGCAAAAATTCAAACTTTTTCTTCCCAAAACAACTGGAACCAGGGGCAGCTCTATGTTTTTTGCCGCCCCAAGCACAGCAGTCAGGCGGCCTTTGGCAGGTGATCTGCCCTGGTCCCGCGGCTTCGGCGTACCCGCTGCTGAAACCGCGGGACCAGCGGACCTCTCGCAGGCATGCCGCCAAAAGTCACCTGACTGCCGCCCTCACAGCTGCGCTGGTGCCTGGAGCATCCCCTGACTGGAACCCCCTTCACTGCCCAACTTAAGAGGTGCATTTGTTAACAATACAAAAACCGTAAGGCCAAGATTTAACCTGGGGTGCCTCAATATTCGCACGGCCGGGGCCCTGGAATAAGTCACTGGGGTTGTCCAGTTGAGTGACGGATCGTTAGTGCCCCCATCGCCATCCCGGCGGAGCTTGGGGCGGCCCCCAGGACTGTCCGCGGCCAATCAATACAGCGGGGGGCGCGCCACGGGGATGCCATCGCTGCACCAACTTTCCGAGCCCGACGTGTCCCGGGCCATGGCGAAAGAAGAAAGACGGAAGAAAGGCTCGAGCGCTGCGTGCACGTTACAAGCTGCCCCGTCCCCGCCCGGGCTCGTGTCCCCCGGCGGGGCGGCTCCCTCACCTGGCCGAGCTGGGACCAGTTGCTGAGCTTGGTGGCCAGCGAGGCGCCGTTCTCGTAGCTGTGGCTGTGGATGTCCCCGGGGTAGTACCAGGAGAAGATCTCGGCGATGAGGTAGCCGTTGGAGAAGTCCCTAGAGAACAACGACAATAACGGTAAGGCGCAGCCGGTGGCGCGCGCTCGGAGGCGCCCCGCCCCATCTCACCGTCGGAAGTTCCTGGGGAAGAAGCTCAGGTCCAGGCTCTGCAGCCACCTCAGCACGGCGCGGGGCAGCCCCGTGCGCCTGGGAGGGTGCGAGTACGACATGGAGGCGCGAGAGGCTGGGACTGCCCGCGAGCTGCGCGCGCCGGAATAGGGTCCCCTTTCCCCGTGTCCTCCAGCTGCTGTGACTAGTTACCAAGCAACCGCCACAAACCATGGAAGTAGGCGGGGACTCATTCGATTTCTCCTCCTGCCCACGGAGTCCCCCAGAATGGCTAGAGTGCGCACGCGCGGCAGGCAACCCATGAGCGGTATTGCCTGAGTGCGCACGCGCAATGGCAGTAGCTGAGTGCCTGTGGGCAGCTGGCAATAGTGGCAATAGCGCCTGCGCGAAACTCTGAGCAGTCCCCAGGTTACTCTGAGTCTGCGACTAGCGCTCTACTGGCCGAGCTGGGCAGCGACTCCCCTGCCGGTGGCGCCATCCTACCACACAGCTCCCCGGTAGGCGCCTGCGGACCGTCATGTGCCCGTGCCTCAGGTGTTAGCTCTGAGCTCCCCGTACACACCAACAGTATCCCCCCGTACAGACCAGCGTCACACACATCAGTTACTAGCTCCTCTGGGTGTTTTATTCTTGATCAGTTGCTACTGTGTTTGCACGTCTAGAAACAGCAGAATTAATTCATCTGAGATGTGGTACAAAAGCACATGCCGGCTGTCTAGAGATCTGATTCTATATATCTAGTCTCTTTGCAGTGTTCTCCCTTATTTTGCTATATATCCAAAAACATGAAAAAGCTGATGTTTTTTAATGCTATCTAGGTTAAGAGCTAATGATTTTACATCCATTAGTGAAATTATATCTGTGCATCTACCTCTTCTCTCTAACCCACTCAATTTATTTGAGTATTAGCCTTTTGGCTCTTCTCAAGATGTGCATCATGTTGACTTTTAAAAGGATACTTAGTCACTTTTAAGCATCCACTCACCATGTGTTTGTCCACCTTAGTCACATACATCCTGCCATCTTACTACACTATATCTTTTCTTATTTCTTAGATTTTACTATCTTATTCCAAGATTTTTTTGTAATTAGGCCATACCCTGAATTGTTCTACAAGCAAAAATCCCACTAAAGCCAATGGGCTTGAAAGTGTATTGATTGTACAACTGTGGTGTTAAGTTCTGTCTAAAATGTCTTGGATAGTTCAGACACAACAAATCCTGCATTTTGGCATGGGGTTAGACTAGATGACCCTTGCGGTTCCTCCTAACCCCATGATTCTACGATTACATTTATTCCCCACACACACACACACTTGACCACTGTCCGGTTTTTACTTCTAGAGATTTCACTGGCTATAACAGCAGTATTGATCAGTCATTCCATTATCTGGCTTAATGTTTGCAAATTGCACAGGACTTTGAAAATGGGAAATTCTACATAAGGGTAGGGTAGGGTGACCCCCCCCCCCAGCATCTCCCGTCTGCCAGCGGCCCTGCCAATCAACTCCTCCTTCTCCCTCCCAGTGCCTCTCCTGCTCGCCATGATCAGCTGTTTCTGGCATGCAGGAGGTGCTGGGGGGAGAGGGGGAGGAGCGGGGATAGGGCGGAACAGGGCAGGAAGAGGCACGGCGGGGGCAGGAAGAGACGGAGTGAGGGTTTGGGGTGGGGTTGAGGGCGGAACAGGGGGTTGAGCACCCCCGGGGCCCAGAGGAAACCAGTGCCTGTGAGGGCCTGATTCTGAGAGAACTTGAGCACCTCCTCTGCTTCCATTGAAGTCAGTGGCACTGACATAGGGAGTAGTTTCTGTGTGATAATTATAGTCATCCTAAATATGTCTTTACTAATGTCATATTACAATAAATTCCGCTCAATTGGAAAGTGGAAATTTTGAGAAACTGATTAGTCTGGGTCACCCAATCTTTGCTTAAATGGAAGGGCTGTGTTGGTGTCACTAGGCATCACCCTAGGTAACTCGGGGGGTTGGAAGACCATGAGAGTCGATGAAGCCCCCCCGCTGTAGGCCAGAGTGAACCAAAGCCCCTGCATGTTAAACTTTACTAACCTCACAGGCCAGCAGCTGGGAAGCAATAGTAATAAGGCCTGCATGCTTCTGGCTGAAAGGCAAGATAACAGATCAAAGGGAAAAGGACAAGATAACGGTTCAAAGAAGAGTTACTAACGAGCTAGACTTATAGTCGCCACGATGACTTAACTGCTTAAATGTAACTACTGCAGAAGGAGGAAAGGGGAGGAAGTGGGGAAGGTAGGGAAGGAGAAAGTAAAGTATTAAAAGAGAAAAACTGCTTATGTTGGTGCGCTTGATTTGAGACATGCTGGTCTCCTAGTGTCTATTCAGAGCTCTTGAATAAACTTTGTCTGCTTCTCCACCCTGGTGTGTTCATTGGCGCAAAGCACACAGGGCAACGAACCCTGCTGTTGCCCCCTTGGGCCTTCTGTGCCGGCAACAGCTGCCCCTACTTTGCAGAAAATGGAGCAGATTGCAGTTGCTCCTGTCTCAGCTGGCAAATGTAGTAGATGGAAGTAAAATGTGGTCATGCTGGTTGGCTCCAGAGGAAGCATTGCATATCCTGAAACCCAGGGCCTGTGACTGCCAGGGCAACTGCAATCTGCTCCATGTAATGCAAAATAAGTGATCCTCATGTAAAGATGAGGGAAGCAATGCTGAACTGTTTAGAACTGGTCAATATGCTGACCATCTTTGCTGCTGGAACAATTAAATTTTCCTAATCCCAAACATACACTTGTACTTGCTTGTATCAGTTATTTTATCTTCTTGCTGTTACTTTTCTCTCATCATCAAATCATGGAACAATCTGAATTCTTCAGAGCAGATGTGTATATAGAGGAGGTTTTTTGTTTATTTGTTTGTTTTTTTTAAAGCATAGTTCCATCCTGTTGGGGTGGGTGTGGATTGCTCATCTGCATATTTTTTCCCTTTTCAGATGTTATTCTTATTTTCCTTTGAGGAGACTGAGTTATTTTCACTATTCTGTTTTTAATGTCTCTTGGAAAGACTTTTCCTGGTACACGTAGCAGACATTAATCCCTATTGTGGTTCGTGTGTCTTTGGTGGAATATCTGTTCTGTCTGATTTCCTGTAATTTGTGTATCCTATCAAGGTTGTCATTTGCAGGGGGAAATTACTCCACATGGATTTGGATTGATGCTTTCTCATTCTTGAATTTATTTCTCCATGCAAGTGTTAAAGTATCAAAAGAAAATATCTTTTACATATTGTTTAGCTATACTGCATTGAACTATTGAACCCGTTGATTTTCCATTCGCTGTCTTCTCACTTGAAGTAAGACTAATGTATCCCTGCAGGTTTTTATTTTTTGTCAGTGAGAGTAGCATCCAAAAACCTCAGCTGGTGGATCAGGACAGTTGCAGACATGCAAGAAAAACAAGCAGTGTCAGGATCTCTAGGAATCCAAGTAGGATTTAAGGATTTAGTCCCAGATCCTCAAAAGTGTTTAGGCACCTATCTGTCTCTTAGGCACCTAAGTTCACGATTTAGACTCCACTAACATTTTCATAATTGCTGCTCAACTGCCATTTACCACTTAGGATCCTAATTCCCCTTTGTGCTTAAAATCCTGCCAGTTGACATTCTCAAAGACTCCTAATCCCTGATGCCTCCCCACAGCTAACGAGCAGCTCAGAGCTCTAGCTCAAGATGAAACACAAGAGACCCTGAAGTGGGATTATCAGTCTAGTCAAGGGAATGCCTATATCATCAGCAAGGCCCAATCCTGTATTGCCGCTCTGAGCTCACCTAAAACTTGATATCTGTCAGATCCCAGCCACCAATAGGGGGACACAGCACCTACACAGAAGACAGCCAGGGACACAGGGAAAGAAGTATCAAGAGTGATCAGGAGAGAGATAGAGAGGATTTTGGCTGCTAGGGCATGGACTACATGAGCAGGTGACCTGGCTTAGTTACCCAACTCCCGGGGAGGGTTCCTTGCTGAGGATTCCTAGTGGAAGAAAGTGCCTATCTGTGGCTTGACAGTGAGGCACACAAGGTCAACCACTTAGGCAACTAAACCGCTGCCCCTCCATTCCCTGCCCCTCCTCTCCATATTTTACTCCTGGTTAGCATAGGCAACTCCCCATCCAGCTTGCTGGCTTCTGAGGCTCCCTTTCTTAGATGCCTAATTCTCTCCATGCACTGTACAGAGTGCCTGAGTACCTAGCTTGGGGCTGATTATTCCACCAGGTGGCAAGATGCCTAAGGGGTTAGGTGTTGCAACACTTAGCACAGCGATTCTTAAGTACCTTTGAGCAGCTGGGCCTTAGGGCCTGATCCAAAGCTTATTGAACTCAATAGGTGTCTTTCTATCAGAGGGGTAGCCGTGTTAGTCTGAATCTGTAAAAAGCAACAGAGGGTCCTGTGGCACCTTTAAGACTAACAGAAGTATTGGGAGCCTAAGCTTTCGTGGGTAAGAACCTCTTGCATCTGAAGAAGTGAGGTTCTTACCCACGAAAGCTTATGCGCCCAATACTTCTGTTAGTCTTAAAGGTGCCACAGGACCCACCAGGTGTCTTTCTAGGAACTTCAGTGGGTTGATCAGACCTTTGGAGAACTGGGTGGCAGCTCATTTGAATGGAAGAGAGGGGCTTATTATACAAGTGGAAAGGGTAGTTAGTAGCTGTGATGGGATCTCTGGGGTGCAACCTGGAACTCTGGTACCACTGTGCCCTCTTAACTCTCCAGCCTGAGCTGTCTCTCACAATGCTTTGCTAGTGACAAGCAACAAGTCCCTCCAGGCACTGTTATCACTCAGCACAACAGCATGATTGCATGAATGCTTCCAGAGCCACTCACGAATCACAAGAGAAATGTGTCAGCCAGTCCCCCCCAGCTCTTCAGCCTTGCACCTCAGAGCTGTACCATCTTGCCTGGATCAGAAGCCTGACCAGTGTAAGTTTATTACCCAGCCCACCGCTCCCTCAATGTGGAGAGGACCTACACTAGCCCTTGTAACCTGAGCTGAGATTTCCCAAGCACTTTCAGCAATATACACTGTTTTAGGTAAAATATAAAACAGGTTTATTAACTACAGAAAAATAGATTTTAAGTGATTGTAAGTGGTAGGCATAAAAGGGCAGAGATAATTACCAAAGAAAGTAAAAGATAAGCGCACAGTCTAAATCATA